TTCCCCAGGTTCTCACCTTTGCGACGCGGTTGTCTTCTGTGCTGCAGTAGCAAGAGACCTTGAGGCTCGAAAGGACGTAAGCGACGTCATCAACCCGTCTCACCCTCCCTTCCTCCTCATCCTCTTCTTCCTTCTCGTTCTCCTTCGCCTCCTCCTCTCTGACTTAACCCCCTAGGTTCTTCCGCTCCCCTTCAACTGTCAACCACCGAAGAAACGCTATCGCCCAAGGTTACTGCTGCTCCTGCTCCTGCTCCTGCTCCTGCTCCTGCTCCTGCTCCTGATCCTGCTCCTGATCCTGCTCCTGCTCCTGCTCCTGCTCCTGCTCCTGCTCCTGATCCTGCTCCTGCTCCTGCTCCTGATCCTGATCCTGATCCTGCTCCTCCTCGGAAATCTCCGTCTAACTTTCCTTCAGCTTTGGCTACATCACGGAACAACAAAGTTTCTTCCAGGTGCTCCTTCCTCCTCCAACCCGTACCCTCCTGCTCCTGCTGCTCCTCCTGTTCCTACTGCTCCTGCTCCCGCTCCTGCTCCTGCTCCTGCTCCTGCTCCTGCTCCTGCTCCTGCTCCTGCTCCAGGTCCTGGTCCTGATCCTGGTCCTGGTCCTCATGGTCTCATGTCGTTTTAGATCCGCAACATTCCTGCTCGGTCACCCTCACCCAACAGCTTATCTGCCCAGAACTCTCAGAGAGGTAAAGGACTCCTGCTCCTGCTCCTCCTGCCGCTGCCGCTCCTGCTGCCGCCGCCGCCGCGGCTGCTGCTGCCGCTCCTGCTCCTGCTCCTGCTCCTGCTCCTGCTACGCTCCTCTCTCACTCTTCTTTTTCTCTATCTCAAGTGTTCTATTGCATTCCTCATCTTTATGCTGTAGGTGGAGCTGCTTACCGCTAGCTTGAGGAAGTTGTGAGGAGGAGAAGGAGGAGGAGGAGAAGGAGGAGGAGGAGAAGGCATGGTTTACTTGAAAGCTGAATCGATGAGGAGAAAGAAATTTTGTTGTGACATGAAGGATGAGCGAGGCAAATCTTGAAGGAGCGAATCGACCTGAAACGAAGTGAGGGAGGGGAGGGGAGGGGAGGGGAGGGGAGGAGAGGAGAGGAGAATGGTTGCGGAGGGAGGGAGCAACTATACAAAAAGAAGAGCAGGAGATAGGAGAGTAGCAGAGCAGGAGTTAGGCAAGGAAAATGACCTCCTCCTCGCTGAAGAGATCGCTGTCAGTCAAGATCTGCACGCGAGTGTCAAACAAGCTCGTGGACAGCAGGGGCACAAGGAGCAGGAAGGAGAGAAGGAGGAGATAGAAGAGAATGAGCAGGAGCAGGAGCAGGAGCAGGGGCAGGAGCAGGAGCAGGAGCAGGAGCAGGAGCAGGAGCAGGAGGAGAAGAAGAAGGCACCTGCTGTAGGGTGGGGAGGTCAACCTTGTTGTTCCCCTGCTCGTCAGCGAGAGCAAAGAGCGCATGCACGATCGCCTGCTGCTCCCTGCTCAGCCTCCGCTCGTGGCAGCTGCGACGGACCTCCTCCTTCAGCCCGTCCTCCTCCTCCCTCATGGCGTGCATGCAACGCTCCTGGAGAACTCGCGTCGGGGTCCAGGGGAAGCAAACTTTCATGATGTCTAGCAGGGAAACTTTCCCGTTGCTGCTCGCCTTCACCTCCTCTTCCTCCACACTAGCGCCGGCCGTGCTCAGCATGCTGTGCCGCATTGTGAGTGAAGAACGAGGGAGAGGACGTGGGATGGAGAGATGGAGAGGGAGCGGAGGGGGGGAGGAAAGTGATGAAGGAGGGGAGAGGAAGCGAGTTCACAAGAGTGGAGGGGAGAATAACAGGAAGGGGAGGATGAGGAGGAAGGGAGGAAAGGAGGAAGGAAGGAGAGCAGAGAGCCGGGAGAATTCGTGCGTGGTGAGGAGTGGGGGGGTGGAGGAGGAAGGGGTTTTAGGGGGAGGAGGAGGAGGAGGGAGGTTGATACCTGTACGCCTCCTCTCTCGTCAGCCAGGCCCCGCTCCTGACCTGCTTCATCATGCGCAGGATCTTGGCATCCACGTGCTCCTCGTCACCAGAGGAAGGAGGAAGTCTGCTCCTGCTCGCCACCAGCCTCATCTCTTCCTCCGAAGCTTCTTCCAGCTCAAGCTCCTCCAACATTCTGCGATGGCCTTGATGAGCTGGAGACGGTCACCTGAGATATACCCTGGAGGAGAAGAGGGGGCGAGGAGGAGAAGGAGGAGGAGAAAAGGAGGAGAAGTGGAGAAGAAGAGCAGGAGATGCCCTTTCAGACTGCTCCTCCCTAGCTCTAAGAAATTTTCACTGGTCAGACGCTGCCTTGCCTTGGCAGGACCCGGCAAAGTGCACAGCAACGCTCAGCGGCTACCTGAACTGCTCAGCCGGTTCCGATGTCTCGCCTTCTGCTGCTGCTGCTGCTGCTGCTGCTGCTGCTGCTGCTCCTGCTGCTGCTCCTGCTCCTGCTCCCTTGGCTTTCTCTAGGCTTCCTTCAGCCGCGTGACTGCTCAGCGCTTCCTCCTCCGCCAGCTGGCCGCTGCCAGTCAGTCAGTGACTGCAGTACGTGCAGCGATTACATGGCCCTCCTCTCCGCCTCCGCCTCCCCTATCATCACGCTGCTCAACCCCCTCCTCCTTCTCCGAGTCATCATTGGGCCTCGACTCGTTTCTTCCCTCAGTGGGCCATGACGGCCGGGGCAGCTGCCTCCAAGTTGAAAGATGCTCATGACTCAGGCTATCAGTCATGGTGCTTAGCTACCCCGAGGCTCCTCACTGCGGCAGCAGCCTCCGGGGAGTCCTCTCTCATGCCGCTACCAGTTGCTCAGTCCTCTCAGGCTCATGCAGCTGAGAGGCCGCTACTAGCCTACTGCTCGTCCGACGGGAGTCAGTGACGTCGCCGCCGGCTGTTCAACCGCAGGCCACAGCGACGGACATGGCGGGGAGCGACGGACATGGCGGGGAGCGAGCAAACAAAAACATCAAAGCCTGCCCGGCCCCGGAAGTTTCAAGTGCCACATGATTGGAGCTGAGTGACTCGCCGAGGCCGGGCCCCGCCGGGCGGGCCGCCGGCCCCCCGGGGCCGGCGGCCGCGCGCCGCGCCGCCGCGCCCCACCCGCTCAGTGCCCGGCCCGCCGCCGTCACGGGCACGGTCACCGCCCCGGCCTGGTCGGACCGCTGGCAGCGGCTTACTACCGAGTGTAGTACTACTACCGTCACTAGTACTCAAAGGCCGCGCGCCGCGCCGCCGCGCCCCACCCGCTCAGTGCCCGGCCCGCCGCCGTCACGGGCACGGTCACCGCCCCGGCCTGGTCGGACCGCTGGCAGCGGCTTACTACCGAGTGTAGTACTACTACCGTACTCAAAGTTCAAAATAAATTCAGCGAGGAGCCCTCGCGAATCCCGGCGTGGCAGCGGCGCGGCCCACCGGGCCGGGCCGCGGCCTCAGGCTCTCGATCCCGGCCGGGCGTCACGGCGCATCCCCCCCGGACCCGGCGTTCGGCCGCGCCGGCGGGCGCCGGCCCGCCGGGCCCGGGGGCCGCCGGCGGGCCGGACGGTCTCAGTCTATTATTACCCGGTACCCAGTGGCACGGTGACCGCTGAAGTGAAACTCGTACGGTACTCCGACGGTTATGAGCCCGCCGCTCGGAGTTTCACAGGGCCTGACTGGTCGCCAAGTTTGAAGCTGACAGTTACGTGGAGACCCAAAGCCCTAGTGGAAGCGTTACACGGTACCCACCCTCTGATATACGAGTATTTCGATTTCGAAATGGAGGGTAGGGGTACTCCCCTCCTTCTTGCGAAGAATGTGGGTAGTTACGGTAAAGGGAGGGGGTAGTCTTGAGAGAAGATGGTGGGGTGCTGAAAGACAAATGTGGGGGTGGGGGTGGTAGAAGGAGGTGTATCTGTGCAAAACCCAGTGGTAGGCAAGCATTGGGAGTCATATTGAGGGGTAGTAAGCCTTTTACAAGAATTTTGACAGGGTGGGTGGTACACCCTTTAGTTTCCAAGTCTCACGAAATACGTTCAAGTCAGCAGAAGATGATGGGAGTGGGGTGGGGTATATCATTTCGAAAGTGGGGTAGTCTTGAGAGAGGTGGGGTAGGTGGATGGTGGGTGTTGGTTATTGGGGGTGGAGTATGAAGTGGGAATCTTTTTTGAGGTTTTTTTTTGGAGTATGTTTGACTAAATTTGGTGGGTGGGTCACAAAAGGATCCACTCATGGACCCTATGTTTCTCTTGTGATCATTTGGAATTGACCAGGGTGGGTAATCTCTCGCAGGGGTAGCTGACCAGTGATGGCTAATCCAGCTTTCGACAGGGTTGTCAACAAAAACACCAAACTTTGAATCTAAAGTTTCAAATATAAACATATCATTTTTAAAAAATGAAATAATTTCAGGTGTATACCGTCTGGGCACACAAAGCCCCGTGGGTCCGGCAAGCAAGGCCCCACCACCCTGCTGCTAATCTTTCAGGACCCACTACCCCCCATATCTACTTGTATGACCGTGTCCTTTCCCTGTTCGTTCCGTACCCCCTCGTCGGAGCCACCTCTACGTCCCGTACCCCTGTCTTCATCTGAAAACCCTGCATACCTGCAGGGGATCCGAGTACCCGTACCCACTGCACAAGATCTTTACCCCCTTACCTACTGACCACCCGTGGGTTGACTTTTGTGTACCCACCGGACACAATCGTCATGGACCCCACCCCCACCACTTGTACCCCACTTCTCTGAAATTGAAGGTCAAAAATTAACCCAACAAAAACCACCCCACCCTACTCGACAGCAAATACAAGGCACTTTGTCGCTCCAAACCTCTCATTTTCGTGTCCTCTCACCCGAACTTTCAAATTTGTGCCCACCCCTGCTCGTGGACCACCCCCTGTTTTGGGCCCCTACCCTAATATCCTGATTTGGAGAAGTACGTCTCCCCGTTCAAGAGCAACCCCCCACCGGTAAGGCCGCATCCCACCCTACCTTACCCTAGAACAAGTACCCTACCCTATCTCTGTCAACTCCTGATCCTATCCTTCCGCCAGCCTCATCCACTTTTGTCACATTAGGTACCCCACCTCACCCCACCCCACCTCACCCCACCCCACAGCACCTAGACTATTAATTTTCTACCCCTCCCTTTGCCATGATGTTCATCCACCCAGATCGCCGGATCTCATACAGGATCGCAAATCTTTGATGTAATCTCGGTGTAGCTTCTGAATTTAAGACTCTTACTGTGTACCCCATTTTTTGATAATCAATCGCGTGTTTGGTGACCATGGGGTGGTCTTAAATACGAACCGAAGGATGAAGATTACCCTACCCCCCACCTTTGCTTTAGGCATGCCCATTGCCTCGTAACCGCTGCAATGATGACGTAACGAGATGTACCCCCGATTTCTATATGACCTACCCCCTATCTACTAGGGTGCCGAGACAATGGAACGGGTCCTTCCAGGAATTTCTATATGCGACCACCCTACCCCCTATTTGTTTGACTACCCAGGGGTGTACGAACATCACCGAACAAACTTCTCCTCTCTACTACCCCCTACCTTCCCTGTGCCCCACCATTCCTACAGCACCATACCTACCATTTGGTCGGATCCCACTACCCCCTCCACCCTACAATACTCTGAAACTACCCACCCAACCATATCTGGTCGGAGGACATATAATTCCCTTCGCATCCATGTCCCACCCTACCCACAAAACACATTTCATATTACCCCACCCATTCCATAAAATAGGAAAAGTACCCCTCCTGTAACATGATCCCAAAGGTGTACCACCCTACCCCCGGTTTCTAATTCCATGCTCTGGACCACCCTTTCCTCTCTTGGCCTGACCGGAGGCACCGTCAATGATCTTTGACCACCCCAATTTCACCCTGCAACTACCCACCCTCCGCACCTCGCCGCTCGACGTAGCGCCTCCTCCCCCCATGCATGCGGCGCGTTCAACGCGAAATGCACTCAAAAATACTCTGTATAGAAGCAGGATCCGCACATGTGCCAATGATAATGGCACAATACAAGATGATCGTGCATGTTTTCTAGAAGAAACCTCGTTGTAGGCAGAAAGCAGATGGCAATCAGTCGCACAGATGGACTCTAACATGTCCGTTAGCCGCGCTGGGCAGAGGTTGATGGTGGGTCGATGCCAGCAGGATCACTTAGTTGCAGAAGCTTGATGGAGCCGAAAATATTGTTGCATGCTATAGTTTTCAGGGTACGCGAGCGTTCTCAGTGCTATGGATCACTCGTATCCAGGCGACAGTTCGCCGTTTTAACTGCCCAACACTGTTTCCCTTGAATTGGATTTTAGAATCTGTTTGTGCTTGTCTGCAATTCATTTGTATCTGTGGTCAAGTTGTTGGGATGGTGTTGATAAACTTGAAAGAATCACCATACAATCATTTGTATGCTGATGGTTGTATTTGATTTCCCCACTGCCTTATTTGGCACATGATCGTGTTCAGCTAAGGTCGGGTTAGAAATAGATTTTCATGATTGATGTGAACGAGCGATGACGGAATCTTGAGGCCTTTCCGTGCTTGCGTGTGAAGGAGAGGTTTGTTGTGATGCTCACGTTCTTGTGTTTACAGCCGGCATCACTCCTGCTCCTCACGCCCTCAGATCGCCGGCGGCGGCTGCGTCGGAGACGAGGGCGTGGTTTGCAGCCAGATACCCCTGAGGGTCAGAATTGTTATTTCTCGCCTGTGAACTGAAAGAGAACAAGAGACTACTTGCTGCTTACTGAGAAGATATCACATTGACAACGACGATCTAGCTAGAGCTGTTTTGGGCGAGCGAAGGGAACAGGCTTTACCTCCTGCAAGGATGCCTCCTTGTGCTAAGGGAGAAGCGGCGACACAGGGGATAAAGACGAAGCCTATCATCACTCTCGAGCAGCTGAAAGCCCACGACAAGAAGGGGGATGTCTGGGTCGCGATAGAAGGGAAGGTGTATGACGTGTCAAAGTGGGCTGCTCACCATCCGGGGGGGGAACACCTCTTGGAGAATATGGCGGGTGAGTGACGCAAGTCAGGAGGTATGTGTACCTGAGAGTTGCTGCCAGGACAAGATGCAACGGCTGTCTTCCTAGCGTTTCACACCGAGCATGGAAGGTGCTGCCCCAGACACCCAGACTCTGTTTCTTAATTGCCCCTTCGTGATTCTACTGCAATTTGTTTTGCCTTGTTGTGTCCTCTTTGTTTTCTTTGGAGTGTCTGAAATGTTCTACCTGTTTTTCGTTGTATAATTGTTTTTATGCACAGCGGCGGTCAGGCAAGAAAGATCTTACAGTTTTTGCCACACGTCGCTGACGTGTATCTGCCTCCCGAGACCAAGCTACAGGTTAGTTACTTGTGGCACCGAATTTTGTACATGTCCTTGATTAACTTTCTCTGTTCAGATTGCATTCAGAAAGCTGCGGGATCAAGTGGACAGTGATGGGTTGTACAAAACAAGTGTTTCATTCTATGTATGTTTGGGCATCTGGATAGCATTCCTATTCTCGGCGATGTTGTACCTTACGCTGACTGCGCACAACATCGCACAAGCGATTTTTGCTGGGGCTGTCTTTGCTCTGTTCTTGCAACAGGTTCAAGTGTTGTGCGGGAACTGTGAGTTGCTCTAACGACTGTCTTGCAGTGTGCTTTTGTTGGACATGACACCTCGCACAACGGCATTACCCATCGACGATTGTGATCTCATTGGCTGGACTTTCATCGGGACTAACTGCGTCTGCAGCACTGACAGTGTGATCGGCTGGATCATTGGGCCATCGGTGACAGGCATCTCGACGGCCTGGTGGAAGCGAAGGTTTGTCACCTTGATAGCTTTTTCCTCGTGAAAGTACGAGACGACCTTTGACGGTTTGTCCTCTAGTCACAATGCGCATCATGTAGTGACAAATTCCACCACCCACGATCCTGACATCCAGGTAATAAAGCGATTTTCTTCATGACCTGCGATGGAACTGATTCCATTCCACAGCACATGCCGGCTTTTGCCATCACCGAAGATCTTTTCAAGAAAGGAGGAACATGGTGCTGACTATTCCCTTTGTCTCTGCATGCTACAGATTCGCAGTTCTTGGTCAATATTCTTGTAGTTGGGCTTGATTTATGTTGAGTTGATCTCGTTTTGTGACATCGTGTTTCATCTCTGTTTGCACTTGATGAGTTGCACTGACCTGTACCTCTTTGCAGGTCATATTATCACAAGCGTCTGTTTCACTTTGACTCCTTGGCGAAGTTTCTCATCTCATATCAGGTCTGCAGTCTTTTCTCCTCGTGGCGTCGCCCATAACGTCCTGCTTCCAGCATTTCTTCTATTACCCGATCATGTCGTTTGCACGGCTAAATCTTTACCTCCAAAGTTGGTTGTTGGTGCTGAATTTCGACGTCAAGATGGAGTACCGTACGGTCGAGATCGCATGCCTGATGATCTACTGGACCTGGCTCTCCCTCCTCATCTCCTGCATGCCCTCCGTGCAGCTGCGCCTGGCCTTCTTCTTCACGTCGCACATGCTTGCCGGCATCCTCCACGTGCAGATCACGATCTCTCACTTCTCCATGCCGACCTACACAGGTCTGAAGATGACGAGGAGGGAAAGCAGGAGAAGCAGGGGAAGCGATGGAGGAAGCGAAGGAGGAGAAGAGGCGGGGGGAAGGGGGAAGCAGGAGGATGAAGATGAACGGGGGGGAGAGGGGGGCAAGGGCAAAGAAGGAATTCTTGTTTGATCCTTTATGGTCAGGTGCATCCTTCCCTGCACATCCAGGGGAAGAGTTTCTGCGGCAGCAGCTGTATACCTCGATGGACTTGGAGTCTTACTGGTGGAACAACTGGTTCTATGGCGGACTGCAATGGCAGGTTGGATGCCCTCCTGTGCCTGCCCTCTGCTCGTTCCACCGTCTCGCGTCCTCCTTCCTGCGTTGCCCCTCCTCCTCTTGCCTGTCTCCTTCCCTCTGCTCGTCCGCCTGCTAACAGGAGCGACAGGTTGCTCATCACTTGTTTCCTCGACTGCCTCGTCATAACCTTCCGGAGGTGAAAAAGAGGCTTCAAGTGCTGTAAGTCAGGAGGAGACAGGGGAGGCGACACCAGACGAGGAGCGAGGGGAGAGGCAGAATGGCGAGGGGGAGAGGGGAGGGGAGGGGAGGGAAGAAGTGTTAATGGTCGGAGGGTCTGACCTGTCATAGGTGCCAAGAGCACGGGCTCGAGTACAAGAGCGTGGGGTGGTGGAAGGGAAATGCAGAGATTCTATATTCTCTCCGCAAGGCAGCCATGAAGGCTCGCTCAACCAAGGTGGGTGGAGATGGTTGTAAGGATACAAGGGGGAGGGGAGAAGTGAAGGATGACGGGAAAGTGAGAGGAGGGGAGGGAAGGCGAGGAAGGAGAGGGAGTAGGATACGAGTGGAGAAGAGAGAAGGGGAAAGGAGAAGAGGGGAGGAAGGGAGGGAGGAGATAACAAAGTGTCTGCAGGTCATCAGCTTCCAGGAGAGTTTGCTCTGGGCTGGGATGAACGCGGAGGGCTGAAAGCTCGAGAGTTTGTAAATAGACCCAAAATGTTCGTGGAGCCTCTGTGTGCTCCAGAAACCTCCAGGAGAAGCCCAGCTGATGGGCCGGGCCTGTGGCAGGTGGACAGCCTAGAGCGCGGCAGAGGATCTAGAGTATTGACAACTATGTACTTAAGGTTCGTTTCATTTCAAGCAATCGAACCTGTCTCCCCGGTGCCCTCCCATACTGCTCCTTCTCCTTCTCCTGCTCCTCCTCCTGCTCCTGCTCCTCTTGTCTTCTTCCTCCTCTGCTCGTTCTCCTCACCCTCTGTTCGTGTTCCGGTCACTGTCGTTCCTCGCGTCTGCTGTCCTCGCGTTATGGCTCCATCCTCTCCGGGCTTACAAGGGCATGTCCGGGATCCCAACGATTTTCTCCAGTTTTTTCTGAGGTCCCGTCAGAGAAAAAACGGGGAGAGGAAGGAGGGAGAGAGGAAAGAGATGTAAGAGTTGTGAAGGAGGAGGGGGAGGGGGAGGGGAAGAGACGAAGCTGGTGAAGGACGAAGGAGATAGGAAGGTGAGGGAGGAAGAGAACAGCACAGGAGGAAGGAAACATGGCCGAGAAAGGAAAGGAGGAAAAGGGCTGGGGAGGACAGGAAGAGCATTGCGGACATTCTTGTATTCCAGTTCCTTGAGCTTATCCTGCTGCTCGCTCATGATTAAAACGCCTGCTGATGAGTCAGTCCTCCTCCTCCTCCTCCTCCTGCTTTACTTTCGATTCTCTCCATCGTCGACGATCTTCTGTATCCTCTCCTCGTAGGACGCTGTGGTGACCTGCATCTGTGAACCAGCTCAGCTCGAGGAAAACAAAAATTCAGCTTCTCCTCCTCCTCCTCCTCCTCCTCGTCCTGCTCCTCCTTCTGCTGCTGCTCCCATCCATTCCATCCCCATCTAACCTTCCTCTTCGCTTCTTCCTCCTGCTGTTGAAGTTTCTGCTTCAGCGCCGCAAGCTCGCTCTTGATCTTTTGCTCCCGGTCCTTCGCCTGCCAGTCACTTAGCGACCGCATTTCCAACCCATTCCCTCCTCCCCCCGCCTCCTCGTCCTCTCTCCGCATTCCTTCACCACCTCGCTTGTCCTCCTCTAGTAACATCTGTCCTCCTTCCCTCCCTCCCCCCCTCCCTCCCCACCTTGACTGCCTCGTCGTCCAGCTCTGCGATCCGCACGTCCTTACGTGCTCGGACTGTATGAAGTCAAGAACGACGAA